TCCCTGAGATCTGTAAATCAAAAGCTTTCAGTTGTTCCCAGGTCTCGACTTGTGACCAGGGGAGACAGAGCCTTTTCAGTTGCAGGACCTCGGCTCTGGAACAACCTCCCACTGTTTGTGAGGTCTGCTGGGTCTCTAAATGAGTTTAAGTCTCTGTTTAAAAACTCATCTGTTTAAACAGGCTGAAGAGTCTGAAGAGCAGGATCATTAGGCCAGCCTTTGCTGTTTTGTTTGATTTTATTGTTCATTTTATTACTGTACTTTGTTCATTGTTTTTATTTTATGCTCCTGTACAGCACTTTGGTTTTTATTGTGCTTTATAAATAAACGATGATGATGATGATGATGATGATGATGATGTGTGTATGGCCTTGAGTCTTATAAAAACAAGGGCCATCTCTCCAGCCCTGCATCTGTTTACGCTAAATTATCCCTCTCCTCTCCTCTTTCACCTTAGGCCCTTCCAAAACCCAAACACCAATGTCACATACTGGGGGCAGTACATTTTATGTCAGCACTGTTATATTGAAATGTCAACAAAATTCTTGTTTATACTGAAAAGAGACTTGCTGATTCTCTCCCCGTTTAAAGTAAATGACTGCAATTGATCACAAAGTGTAAAATATCTGCATCTAAAATTCAGTTAATTAGTCACAAAATTTCCTTCAAATTTGACATAACAAAAATTATCTGAACTATATGGAAATAATATGAAAACCTTTATTTATAAAGTTTCCAACATCTGTTCATTACAACAGGATATTTCTAAACATTTCTCAACCCCAGAAATTCAATTTTTCATTCCTCCCAGAAATAAAAATACTCTTCATCATAACTGTGAATAAACCTTTTCCAATCTTGTATTTTCTCCGCTGCTCAGAGTTGCTTCAGATTTGTGTGGATTTCTTCTCGTTCCATGATCCTCAATGTAATCTCCATTCTTGTCCTTCTGGGAGTAGGTTTTATGTTCTCATTCTCAGATGAGAGTTTGGTGTCCCCAGGTGGAGAGGAAGAGGGGTTCAGTTGTTCTCCAGTTGCAGGTTGGGGGAACTGCTCTCATGCTTCAAAAAGAAAAAATAAGTACATCTTCTGGACGGGTTCTTTAATGAAACGTTTCATCTCTCCTCCAAGGGACTTCTTCAGTCTGAGGAGTTTCAGGTGAATTCAGTCTTATAAGCACTGCCTCCACATGGTGGACTAACAGGTCTGTTCACATGTTTGTAAAAGAGGGCCATCAGCCAAACAATAGATTGTTAGTGCCTTGATTAACTTGATCTGCTCAACAGATGATTGAAATCCTTTTTCAAATTTCTGATTGTTGCCTCATGACGTGTTCAGCTCCAGCTTAAGAGTTGGGTATTTAGCTGTGATTTCCTGTATCTTCTCTGTCGGATCAGACAACATATCAGCAAAGCTAAAAACCTTGGCTTTTTTCTTGTTCCAAACCATTTAACCTCATCCACAGCTTTGTCAGCTACTATCAGCATTTCTTGGTTCTTGATTTTTGGTTTGTGGAGCCGTTCTTCCATTACACAGTGCAGCTCCACTTGTTTCTACTCTACTTGGTTCTACTCAGGTGTAGGTGATTTTCCACTGTAACTGTGTCCCCGCTCTGTGGGAGGTAACGTCTTTTAAAGTGGGTGGTATAATTTAAATAGAGGCACAGAAGCTGCTGTTTATCGTCCTTCTGTGCTAGTTATCTATTGGCATAAACTGTAATTAAATGCACGAAGCACTCACCGTCTGCAGATGTCTGAAGTTTGTGAACAGTCCAGTCTACAGTTAGCAGCAGCCAGACCGGTGGCTGTAGAGAGAGATCGTCTCCATTTACCCAAACCAGCTCTAATCCCACTGCTTTGAGCAACTCGGGCCATTGCGGTCCTTCACTGCTCTGAAAACTGGCTTAATATTTTTAATTTCTCCCGGCGCGCCGCCATCATTTGGAAAATCTCAGTAAATCAGCTCGCTTTGGATCTTCGCRCATTTGTTAATGTCATCCAGGGCGGTTCATGTAGCTCCACTGGCCAATCGCTATTGCTACACACTTCGGCACCTTCACTCCCCAAATGGTGTCGGCCTCAGTACTACCTCGAGAGGAGGTTCGAAAAAGTGGGCCGAAAGCGGGCAGGAGCCGCAGTGGAAATTCACAAAACGGGTGCAGAGTGGGGTGGAGCCAAACCAAACCACGTAGGTGGAAAACCGGCTTTTCTGAACTCAATTTTGGGCTGACTCACAAATTTCTTTCAGTGGTGTGAATCATTTTTACAGAAAGATTCCTGTGTTTTCCACTGTCTCATTATTTCCACTTGCTTCGATGACAGTGTGCTGTCATCTTCTACTCGATACTGGGGAGAAATCTCACTATAATCGGCCATTCAATTTCATCTAGGTGCTGAAATCTCCCTGAGAGATTCTTTGATCTTGCGCCAAGTGAGTTCCAGGAAGGCCTGCTTCACAACAACTTTTCAGTCTTTTACATAATCCGATATTCACACTCATCCTTCTCACTTGTTTGTGCGTGTGTTGCATTCAAAGCATTCATCTCCTCCAGGTGATAAAATTTAAAGTGTAACTTACCCCACCTGTGAAAGGATAACTCCACCCCCAACGCAAATTTGAAAAATGCATAAAGTGGAGACTCTGAGGGGAGTGTGTGTGTGTGTGTGTGTGTGTGTGTGTGTGTGATAAAATTTAAAGTGTAACTTACCCCACCTGTGAAAGGATAACTCCGTCCCCAACGCAAATTTGAAAAATGCATAAAGTGGAGACTCTGAGGGGAGTGGGGGGGTGAGCGAGGAGGTGTGGCCAGGAGGAGAGAAAGTTTTTTTAAGATGAGACAACGTGACAGCTAGCTTTAGTTTACTT